TGCCCGAGCTTCTTATTGCGGTGGCTTCTCTTGTTGCGGAGCATGGGCTCTAGGCTCACAGGCGTCAGTAGTTGTGGCTTGCGGGCTCCAGAGCGCAGGCTCAGTAGTTGTGGCTCACGGGCTTAGTTGCTTTGCGGCATGTGGGATCTTACTGGACCAGGGCTCGAACCCATGTCCCCTGCATTGGCAGGTGGATTCTTAACCAGTGCACCACCAGGGAAGCCCCCATAAAATGTCTTTCAATATTTTGTTTTCCCTTCTAAATTTATCTTTCTACATCCTTAAAATTCTCGTATATGTTGCATATAGAATATGTGTAAGCAAAGATTTACGTATTATAATCAGGAATTACGTACTGTTTTATGTTCTACATTTTCTCCTTTTATTTTAGTATTCTCCTGTGTATATGTGTGTGTGTGTGTCATAGTTACCATGCTAATGGTTCCTAGAGTTGCAGCATACTAAGAGATCATAATTTATGTAATCTTATCCTAGTGCTAGACATCAAGATTGTGTCTTGTTTGTTCCTATTTGTTAATGTTGTTTTATAAAACTATTCTTTACAACTCGTTTTCTCTGTTTGAATTGTTCAACATTTTACAAACATTTCCAATAAGGCAAAGGCTGGGTCTGAACTGTGGACTTTGCCCTTTGCCAAAGCTAAAAGCTCACCCTGACTGTACAGTGTTCTAGAGCCTCTTCAGGTTTCAGCCTACCCTATTAACTGGACAATATGTTTGTTGGTGGCAGTGGTGGTACTTTCCACTGTGTGTATGTGTGCATGTCTATATGCAGAGCAGTCTCACATTATGTGATTTGCAGGTATTATAACAATGTTACAACCCCAGAAATTTGGCATCAAACTCATTTTGCCTCTTCTGCTTCATTTTACCTCTTACAAGATGCTTCTGGATAAAAGGTCACATTTGCCTCTCGGAACGTTAGACTTCCACTATCCTGAGGCTCTCAAGGAGATGGAGCCAATGTCTGGAGACATTTTTGTTTTTCACAATTGAGAGTGGAGGTGTTACTACTGATGGCTAGCGGGTAGAGGCCAGGGACATTACTGTATGTTCTACAGTACACAGAATTGCTTCCCACAGTGAAGAATTGTCTGGGCTGAAATAGAAGTAGTGCTAAATGTAAGGAACCCAGCTCTAAACTGATCAAGAAGTTTTTAAAAAGAACATGAATTACCAGTACAGTGTCATCATGAAAAGGTAAATTAAAACCACAATGAGATAACTCTTCACATCCATAGTTTAGCTAAAATTTAAGAGACCAGCAGTCCAAAAATGATACAAAAGAACTTATTTACAAAACAGAAACAGACTCACAGACTTAGAAAACAAATTTATGGTTACCCAAGGGGAAAGGTGTGGGCAGAGGGATAAATTAGAAGTTTGGGATTAGCAGATACACACTACTACGTATAAAACAGATAATCAACAAGGACCTACTGTATAGCATGGGGAACTCTACTCAATATTCTGTAATAATTTATATGGGAAAAGAATCTGAATAAGAATAAATATATGTATATGTATAACTGAGTCAGTTTGCTGTACACCTGAAAGCAACACAACACTCTAAGTCAAATACATTCCAATATAAAATAAATTTTTTTAAAATAATAATAAATTAAAAGATAAAAAGACCAACAGTCCAAAGCATTGTTGAAGTGTGGAGTAATTGGAACTCTCATGATTTGCTAGTAGGAATGTAAAGTGAAAGAACTACTTAGAAAACACTGTTTAGCCGTTTCTTATATAGTTAAACATATACTTTCCATTCAATCCAGCTATTCCACTCCTAGGTACTTACCTGAGATAAGTGAAAACATATAACCACTACAAAGCTTTTACATGAATATCCATTGTAGTTCTACTTATTATATCCAAAAAAGGAAAGAAAAGAAACAACCCAAACACCTATCAACAGATGGATGGATAAATAAATTGTAGTATATTTCTACAATGAAATAATACTCAGAAATAAAAATTAACAAACAGCTGTTACGTGATCAAATTGTTTTAATCTTAACATCATTATACCACATGAAAAGTACATAGTATGATTACATTATATTCAATATAAGGCAAACTAATCCATAGTGATCAGTTCCTGAGTAGGCTAGCAGTGGGGAGCAAGTGACTACAAAGAGAAATCAAGAAACACAGGGGATGAAAGGTGGTGATGGTTTCATAGGCATACACATGTGTCAAACCCATAGAATTGTACCCTACATATGCCTTTAATTATGCCCATTTAAATTATTCAACAATAAATGTATTTTTAAAAGATATAACCACAGCTATAGTAATGCTGTCAAAGACTCTCCTCTCGTCAAACCAATAAGTGAACATAGGGAACAAAATGGCCTGTTGGTCCCCAAAGAACTGGAAAGCACCTGGGAGTGTGGGGCAGGATATACACATGGAAAAGTCAAGAATATTCACTCATTCAAGCAATCTCAAATCTGTTCACACAGCAGGTTCCAAAAGGTAAATGAGATCTTTGGAACCATAAGCATTTTCCCATTGAAAGTAAGCAACGCTGGTTCCGTCTCTACCAGTCTGTATCTTAACTGACCATGCCAAAGGGCATATGTTCCTAAAAAGAAGAAAGCCGGGCTTCCCTGGTGGCGCAGTGGTTGGGAGTCCGCCTGCCAATGCAGGGTACGCGGGTTCGTGCCCCGGTCCGGGAAGATCCCACATGTCGCGGAGTGGCTGGGCCCGTGAGCCATGGCCGCTGAGCCTGCGCGTCCGGAGCCTGTGCTCCGCAACGGGAGAGGCCACAAAAAAAAGAGGAGGGCCCACAACCCACAAAAAAAAAAAAAAAAAAAAAAAAAGAAGAAAGCCAAGAACATGCTGGACAGAGATCTGGAAAGGTGAAGTGCCTCAGCACAAAAGGACTAAGTACATCAATCTACATTTTTCCTGCTTCCTTCAGGGAATGATAATAATAATGACGTATTAATATTATTCTCTGCTAGGCACTCTGCTAAGAGTTTTACATGCACTTTTTCATTCATTTGGTGCCAGTGCGTGGATTACTTCATTTAATCCTCACGTCTATGATTCTTCCCAGGGCACTATTCTAACTGAAGATGTTCATATCGTGGTCTGTGTTTAAGTTACATCCCATTCCTTCAATACAGAAGAACAACCCAATGGACTGATTTGAATTACTGTGTAGTTAACGGCTAGGGACAATATTAATAATAACAATAATAAAAATAATAACATTTTGAGTTAATATATGCTGGAAATTTTTCTATGCACTTAATATGTATTAATTCATTTAATTCTCATAGCAATTTTCTAAGATAAGATCTCTTTCCAGAGGATTTATTAATGAGGAAACCAAGGAACAAGGAAGTCAAGTAACTTTTTGAAGATTACATAGCTTGTTAATGGTGACATTGGGATAATCATGGACAAAGATGCACTTGCATATTTAAAGAATGTGTTTGTTCGATGTGACCGACGGGCTTTAATTTCCAAAATATACAAACAGCTCATACAACTCTATAACAACAACAACCAAAAAAAAACCCAATCGAAAAATGGGCAGAAAACCTAAATAGATAATTCTCCAAAGAAGAAATACAAATGGTCAACAGGCACATGAAAAGATGCTCAACATCACTAATCATTAGAGAAATGCAAATCAAAACTACAATGAGATATCACCTCACACCAGTCAGAATGGCCACCATTAAAAACTTTACAAATAACAAATGCTGGAGCGAATGTGGAGAAAAGGCAACCCTTGTACACTGTTGGTGGGAATGTAAGTTGGTACAGCCACTATGGAAAACAGTATGGAGGTTCCTTAGAAAACTAAAAATAGAATTACCATATGATCCAACAATCCCACTCCTGGGCATATATCCAGAGAAAACTCTAATTCAAAAAGATACAGGCACCCCTATGTTCATAGCAGCACTATTCACAATAGCCAAGACAGGGAAACAACCTAAATGTCCATCAACAGATGAATGGATAAAGAAGATGTGGTATATATACAATGGAATATTACTCAGCCATAAAAAAGAATGAAATAATGCCATTCGCAGCAACATAGGTGTAAATAGAGATTATTATACTAAGTGAAGTAAGTCAGAAAGAGAAAGACAAATACCATATGATATCACTTCTATGTGGAATCTAAAATATGACACAAATGAACCTATTTATGAAACAGAAACAGACTCACAGACATGGAGAACAGACTTCTGGTTGCCAAGGGGGACAGGGCAGAGGGAGGGATGGAGTGGGAGGTTTGGGTTAGCAGATGTAAACTATTATATACAGAATGGATAAACAACAAGGTCCTACTGTATAGCACAGGGAACTATATTCAATATCCTATGATAAACCACAATGGAAAAGAATATTTTTAAATGTGTATATATATATATATATATATATATATATATATATATATATATATATGAATCACTTTGCTGTATGGCAGAAATTAACACAGCATTGTAAATCAACTATACTTCAATTTAAAAAAAGAATATGTTTGTTAAAATATATGTGTCTTTAATGACTAAAATTCAGGGTAGTATAAGATAGTGAAGCGAAAATTATCAGAAAGAGAGCCCTGTGCTTTCTGCCCGTCTCATCCTTCCTTGGAGTTGGTGAGGACTTTAATGACAGTGACACCAATAAAAGGCACTGAAGGAGGGCTTGGACGTAGGTATTAGGATAGAATCTTCGGTGCTTGTTTCTTTGTGTCTTCTATGAGGTGGCCCTTTCAGGACTTTTATGATGCCCTTCTAAACTCCTGTCCTTCATAGTAAGGCTAGAAACCTATGGTGACTATACTTTCTCCCCCTCTCCCAAAGCAGTTTTCTAGGCAAATTTATCTCACCTGTTATCTTCTAAGGTTCAGGTGAATGTGTGCCAATCTATTTCTATTGGTTCAGTATCTTCTCATTCCTGGCTGTTTCTTGGTCTTCTCTCTAGGCTAAGGTACCTGCGAAGATGCTCCACTTACAGGGTCCACAGATGCTGCAGATGCTAGAAAAATACTTAAGGAAGAGCCTCCCTGAGTCCTTAAAGGTGAGCATGGGACATTCTTAGGGAACCAAATGGTTGCGTCTTCTTGTAATAGAGGTGAGAAAGAGAATGAGCTTTTAAAAAAAAAAAAAAAAAGAATGAGCTTTCACTGAGCACCCATTCTGTGGCAGGAACTCACTCATGCTGCATCTCACATAGCACCTCTTGGCAAGGGAGGTCTATTATACTCATGTCCCAGAAGAGGAAACAGGTCTCAGTAATATGACTTGTCTGATACTTTTAAGTGGCAAAAAAAACGCTCTCTGCAGACTCAAAAACATTTCCTTGATTTCTCTTTAAAAGGTTGATCTAAGTACATACTAATTTTTAAACATTTGTGCCCAAGGCAAGGTTAACCACCATGTACCTTCTTGGAACATTTAATAGGTCAACTCCTATTTCTTTGAAATCCGAAAGATTATGCACTGTCCATGGAGGAGACCTAGAAATTATTATATACTCTTCGTTTTTTTATTGCAGCAAAATTTGTTACAAAGTGGCTGGATTTATGCACTTTTTATTTATATTTTCATTTTTAACATTCAGAGGATTGATGAAACGAGTAAAATGCTTTTCTTTCATTTTTTATTTTTTGGCCATGCATCTTGTGGAATCTTAGTTCCCCGACCCAGGATTGAACCCAAGCCCTTGGCAGTGAAAGCGTGGAGTCCTAACCACTGGACCGCCAGGGAAGTCCCTAAACTGCTTTTTAAAAGCTCCTTTTACACCTAAAGATAGAATCTTAAGTCACATGCAACCACTGCCCAGCACCGGCACCAATGGGGACCTCGAGGTCAGAACAACGCCAGTGCAGTTCATTAGTGGCAATAAAAAGCACTTATAGCCCTTACCTCATCCCAGCCACTGGGCTTTATCTGTGAACTCATATAAACTTCAAAACTCCCATACGAGGAGGGTGTCACTCTTCTCCCTACGTTGTAGATGATGCATCTGACGAAGGAAACTTAAATAACTTGCCCAACTGGTTACTGTTGAGGCCAGAAATATAATCCATTTACCCAATTTCAACTCACCTGAGCCTACCTGTATGCTTTGAGCAAAATAGGTCCTCCACTTCAGATGCTGTTAAGAATGAGGAGAAACTGGATCTCTCGTGTATTGTTGGTGGGAACGTGAGACGGTACAGCCACGCTTGAAAAGCAATTTGTAAGTTTCTAACTAACCTTGCAACCAGCACACAAACAGCAATTACAGTCCTGCGCATTTGCCCCAGACAAATACAAGTTTATTTTCACACAAAACTATGCACATGAATGTCTATAACAACCTTATCCATAATAGTCAAAACAACTCAGATGTCCTTCCATAAGCGAATGGCTAAACGAACGGTGGTACATCCATACTGTGGAATGCTACTAAACGACAAAGAAGAAATGACCTATTGATACCTGCCACAATCTGGACGACGCTGCAGAAAATTATGCTGAGTGAAAAAAAAAGCCAATCCCAAGGGATGACACGCTACATGAGTCCATTAATATAAAATTCTTGAAATAACAAAATTATAGAAGTGGAGAAGAGATTGATGGTTGCTGGAGGTGAAGGAGGACGTGAGCAGTGGAGGGTAATGGGTGTGACTCTAAGGAGCAATATGAGTGATGCTCGTGATGATGAAACTGTTCCACATCTTGACCGTATCAACGTCAAAACCCTGGTTGTGGTATTCTACCGGCACAGAGACACTAGGTCTCTGCACTTTACCAAGTTCACACAGTAAGTAGCCAGGGTTTTATTCCAGGCAGGTTAACCCTTGAAGCCAAGTACTAACCATTATGCTCATCCACTGGGCATAACGCCTTGGACATTGGTCGATAAAGTTACATATTTCAATTTCTATTATTAGTTTTGTCAAGAACTTGCACCCTAATCCTACCATGGGAGTTAGGTTGATGACAGTGACATCGCATTGGTTCTGTGGCTAAAAGGGCAGACTCAGCATCCAGCCTGTCTGGGTCTGTGTCTGCCTCTTCCATCATCAAGCTGTATGTCGACACCACATCACTTAACTTTTACATGCTTTCGTTTTCTCATACAAAAAGGGAGTGATGAGGGACTTCCCTGGTGACCCACGGTTAGGACTTGGTGCTTTCACTGCCCAGGGCCTGGGTTCCATCCCTGGTGGGGGAACTAAGATCCCACAAGCCACGCAGCCAAAATAAAAAGAAGGGAGTAATGAGAGCTCTAACCTCTTGGGGTTATTGTCAGGATGAGAAGACTTTATGTTGAACAGGTGGAACTGTGCCTTGCACACGGAGAAGATATGCAAATATTAGCCACTGTTATTACACATCAGACCATAAATTTACAGTGGGGTGAATTGTGGATGCATCTTATGTGAGGCTAATGCTTTGAAAGGCCTGGCATAATTTGGGGTGAGTTGAATCTATTCACTTTTCTCAATCTTAACCATTTGTAAACCATCCTTTTACTCTGGGGAAGAGAAAGGTAAGCATTCTTCTACGGGTAGACTATCTGGCTTTATTTTTATTTGCTATAAAAGGACCAAAGAGACAATTGTCCCTGACCTTTAATTACTATAGCCTCCACTTATTGGTAGGAAATATTTACCTTTACCAGAGGATAATTTAAAAATATATGTTAAAAAGCCTTAAACAGGGCTTCCCTGGTGGCGCAGTGGTTGAGAGTCCGCCTGCCGATGCAGGGGACGCGGGTTCGTGCCCCAGTCCGGGAAGATCCCACATGCCACGGAGCAGCTAGGCCCGTGAGCCATGGCTGCTGAGCCTGCGCGTCCGGAGCCTGTGCTCCACAACGGGAGAGACCACAACAGTGAGAGGCCCACGTAACACACACACAAAAAAAGCCTTAAACATGTAGATAACTTTATGCCCAGCAATGTCCCATCTAAAAACCTTCCCTAAGCAAATATCAGGTACATATGCAAAGATTTCTACAAAAAGATATTCTTTGAAGGGTCATTGTTTACACTGAAAAGTTGGAAACACCTGGAGTAGAGTGTATCTGATATTTTTCATTTTTTGTGAAGTTTGTTGTGTGTGTACATGAATAGAAGGAAATTTATTAAAGATTTTATTAAATTCTACAATGGGAGAGTTCATAACTTTTATTCATAAATTTCATTGGTCTGAATATTTTCTATATGAATATATATATATTTTTTTCTTTTTGCGGTACACGGGCCTCTCACTGTTGTGGCCTCTCCCGTTGCGGAGCGCAGGCTCTGGACGTGCAGGCTCAGCTGCCATGGCTCACGGGCCCAGCTGCTCCGCGGCATGCTGGATCCTCCCGGGGCATGAACCCGTGTCCCCTGCATCGGCAGGCGGACTCCCAATCACTGCGCCACCAGGGAAGCCCTATATGAATATTTTTTAAAGATATATTTATTGGGGCAAAAATTAGAACCTAAAAAACGGTCTGCAGAAATTCTCATTAGGTGCCTTCTAATCAAAAAATTTCATTATTTCATAGAAATAAACCTTGTCCTGATCAAACGAGGCACTTTGCCATCCCTTCCTAATAAGCTGACCCTCTCACTTTGTCCGGATACTGCAGGTTTATGGGACCACCTTCCACATGAACCAGGGAAACCCTTTCAAGCTACAGGCCCTGGTGGACAGGTGGCCTGATTTTAATACAGTGGTTATCCGCCCTCAGGAGCAGGTAAGGTGCCAGATGTGGAATGAATATGCATGTATGTTCGTATTTGCTATGTGCCTACCGTGTGCCCGGCAATGTGCTAGACCCTGGGATTATAGAAATGAATCGAGGTGTTGGTTAACAAGTCCTTGTCCTCAAAACGCCCACAGCCTGGAGGAGATTATAGGTAAATACACAGATAAATTACAGCGTCGTGTGAAACAGGCAGGATCAAAACACGGATAGCATCCTGCTGCTGCTTAAGACCAAACGCACTTTGTCATTTCTTGCACCCAGTTTGTGGGAATAGAGGCAACCAGTGGGAGGTTGTGGTAATGTAGGATTATGTAGATATTCACTTTTGTTAAAGGTATCAAAGGAGCATTTCCCAGGCTAGAATTCTGCATTGTAATAAATGAAACCCATTTTAAACCCTTAACCCAAGGGGGAAAAAATATTTCCTACCTTTTAAAAACACCAGTTTTGAAACCACACCAACTCATTCATGCTAACTCAAAACTTCTCATTGTGATACTGTCTTCCCATTGAGATGCTGCAGGGTGTTATAACCTACCGTCATCAATAAAGCAAATAAAACAGGGCAGGAAAAAGACTATATGTGGTAGAGGTTGCAGGGAGAGGATCAGAAACGCTTCTTAGCAGAAATTTTACCAAAACTGGATGTTGAAGGCAAATAAGATTTTTTACATGGTGGCAGGGAAGGACTGCCCTCAAAGCAGAGGAAATAGTAGTTGCAAGGCATAAGGTCTGAAATAACAGAGTGAACTAAGGAAAACTGAGGAGAAAATGACATAGTTGGAATTGTTGTTCACATATTGTATGATAATTTTGTAATTAGTGAAATTGAATAGCTAAGACATTTCAAAAATAAAACATATAATGATATTTTAAAATATCAAGTAAAAATCTAAAATTTTAATGTAACTGTATTTTATAGAACTTATATAGAAGTGAAATTGGTAAGAAATATTATTCAAAATAACCAAATTAAATAATCTGAAAATGAAGACTTTTAATTATTGATAGAAACCTGAGCTACTTTCAAAAATACAGTCTTAAAAATAAGAGTTGTCCAGCTTTACAAGCGATTATTGACATATAAGATTTTGTAAGTATAAAATGTACAATGTGTAGATTTGATACACATATATCATTAAACGATTCCCACCATAGCTTTAGCTAACCCTCCATCAGGTCACATAATTACCATTTCTTTTTTTTGGTGAAAACATTCAAGATCTACTTTCTTAGAGACTTTCAAGTACAGTTGACCCTTGAACAACATGGGCTTGAACTGCACGAGTCCACTTATATGCAGATTCTTTTCAATAATTTCATGCTACAGTACGACACCATCTGAGGACGGTTGAATCTGTGGATGCAGAACAGCAGATACAAGGGCTGACTGTAAAGCTATATGTGCGGATTTTCAATTGCATGGAGTGTTGGGGTCCATAACCCCTGCATTGTTCAAGGGTCAACTGTATATAATACAGCCTTGTTAACTATAATCCCCATACTGTATATTAGATTCTCAGAATTTATTTATCTGGTACAAACTAGAAGTTTGTACCTTTTGATATCTCCACGTTTCCCCCACCTAGGCCTCCCCAGCCTCTAGTAACCACCATCCAACTCTCTGTATCTATGATTCAGCTTTTTAAGATTCCACACATAAAGAAGGTCATACAGTATTTGTCTTCCTCTGTCTGACTGATTTCACTTAGCATAACGCCTACGAGGTCTATCCATGTTGGCACAACTGGCAGGAGTTACTTCTTTCTTGTGGCTGACTGAAATTCCATTGTAAAGATATGCCACATTTTCTTTATCCATTCATTTTTTTCCCCATATTTTGGCTATTGTGAATAATGTTGCAATCAACATGGAGTGCGGGTATCTCTTTGAGATCCTGTTTTCATTTGCTTTGGCTGTATACCCAGATGGGATTCCTGATTCATATGACAGTTCTATTTTCAATTTTTGGAGGAATCTCCATACTGTTTACATAGTGGCTACACCAATTTACATTCCCACCAACAGTGCACAGGGCTCCCTTTTCTCCAGAGCTTCCCCAGTACTTGTTATCTCTGTCCTTTTCTTTTTTTAAAAAAATTAATTAATTTATTTGTGTGTTTATTTTTGGCTGTGTTGGGTCTTCGTTTCCGTGCGAGGGCTTTCTCTAGTTGCGGCAAGCGGGGGCCACTCTTCATCGCGGTGCGCGGGCCTCTCACTATCGTGGCCTCTCTTGTTGCGGAGCACAGGCTCCAGCCGTGCAGGCTCAGTAGTTGTGACTCACGGGCCCAGTTGCTCTGCAGCATGTGGGATCCTCCCAGACCAGGGCTCGAACCCATGTCCCCCGCACCAGCAGGCAGACCCCTAACCACTGCGCCGCCAGGGAAGCCCATCTCTTGTCCTTTTGATGATAACCATTCTGGTATGTATGTGGTCTTGATTTGCATTTACCTGATAATTAGTAATGTAAAGCACTTTTTCATGTATCTGTTGGCCATTTGTATGTCAATTCTTCTGCCCATTTTTAATGGGATCGTTTGGGGTTTTTTATATGATATTGTATGAGTTTTTAAAATATGTTTTGGGTACTAACCCCTTGTCTGATATGTGATTTGAAAGTATTTTCTCCCATTTGATAGGTGTCTCTTCATTTTGTTGATTTTTTCTTTTGCTGTGCAGAAGCTTTTTAGTTTGATGTAGTCCCAATTGTTGATTTTTTGCCTTCTTTTCTTGTGCTTTTGGTGTCATATCCAAAACATCATTGCTAAGACCAATGTCAAGGAGCTTTATCTCTATATTTTCTTCTAGGTTTTTAAAGTTTCAGTACTTATGTTTAAGGCTTCAGTCCATTTTGAGTTAACTTTTTGAGTGGTGTAAGATTGGTTCTTCTGCAAGTGATTATTAAGCTTTCCCAATACCATTTATTAAAGAGATTATTCTTTCCTGATTGAGTGTTCTTGGCTCCCTTGTCAAATATTAGTTGATCATATATGTGAGAGCTTATTTCTGGGCTCTCAATTCCATTCCATTTGTCTATGTGTCTATTTTCATGCCAATACCTTACTGTTTTGATTTCTACAGCTTTGTAGTATAGTTTGAAATCAGAAAGTATGAAGCCTCCATATTTGTTCTTATTTCTCAGGATTGCTTTGTCTAGTCAATCTTTTGTGGTTCCATATAAGTTTTAGGATTTTTTTTCTATTTCTGTGAAAATGCTATTGGAATTTTGATAGAGGTTGCATTGAATCTACAGATGGCTTTGGGTAATATGATTATTTTAACAAAATTAATTCTTTCAATCCATGAAACCTTAACCAATTCATTAACCATAAATCCAAATGTATGTCTTTCCATTTGTTTATGTCTTCTTCAATTTCTTTCATCAAAGTTCTATAATAGGGCTTCCCTGGTGGCGCAGTGGTTGAGAGTCTGCCTGCCGATGCAGGGGACACGGGTTCGTGCCCCGGTCCAGGAAGATCCCACATGCCACGGAGCGGCTGGGCCCGTGAGCCATGGCCGCTGGGCCTGCGCATCTGGAGCCTGTGCTCTGCAACGGGAGAGGCCACACCAGTGAGAGGCCCGCGTACCGAAAAAAAAAAAAAAAAAGTTCTGTAATAGCCTTCTTTTTTCTCTTGTTATCATTCTTGGCTTAAAGTCTATATTGTCTGATACAAGTGTAGCTATTCCTGCTGTCTTTTGGTTTCTATTTGTATGGTATGCCGTTTTCATCCCTTCACTTTGAGCCTATGTGTTTCCTTAAAGCTTAAAGTCTCGTAGGCAACACAGAGTTGATCTTTTTTTTTAAAATTCATCTAGCTACTCTATATATTTTGATTGGAGAATTGAATCAATTTACACTTAGAGTACTTATTGACAGGTAAGAACTTATTAATGCCACCCTATTGTTTTCTGCTGTTTTGTAGTCCTCTTGTTCCTTTCTTCCTCTTGCAACTTTCCTTTGTGAACTGATGATTTTCTGTGGCGGTAAACTTTGATTCTTTTCTCTTATCTTTTGTAAATCTACTGTAGGTTTTTGCTTTGTGATACCATGAGGCTTATGTAAAACATATTATAAATATAAGAGTCTATTTTACTCTGATAACAATTTAGCTTTGATTGCATACAAAAACTCTATCCTTTTGCTCTCCATTTTATGTTTTTTTAATGTCACTATTTATATTTTTTATATTGGATATCCATTAACAAATTATTGTAGCTATAGATATTTTAATATTTTGTCCTTTAATCTTTATACTAGAGTTAAGTGGCTAAAAACCATAACATTACTATATGAGAATATTCTGAATCTGACTATATGCTTACTTTTACCAGTATGCTGTATATTTTCATATGTTTTTATGTTACTAATTAGCATCCTTTCCTTTCAATGTGAAGAACTCCTTTTGGCATTTCTTTTTTTTTTTTTTTTTTTTCAGAAGGAATCGGAACATTTTATTCGAGCCAAATTTGAGGATTATAACCTGGGAAGAGCATCTCAGAAAGCTCTGAGAACTGTTCCCCTTTCAGTATTTCTTATAAGGCAGGTCTTTTGGTGATGAACTTCCTCAGTTTTGGTTTGTTCGTGAAAGTTAGTGAAACATCGAAAAAAATGTTCCAATTCTTTCTTAAAAAAAAAAAGGAAAAGCTAAAAGGAGTTCTTCAAGCTGAAAGGAAAGGATGCTAATTAGTAACAAAAACATATGAAAATATACAGCATACTGGTAAAAGTAAGCATATAGTCAGATTCAGAATACTCTCATATAGTAATATGGTTTTTAGCCACTTAACTCAAGTATAAAGATTAAAGGACAAAATATTAAAATATCTATAGCTACAATAATTTGTTAATAGATGCCCAATAAAAAAACAAATATCACAAACAAATAGTGGTAGCAAGATATTAAAAATGATATCTTGCTATCTTTTCTGAAGAACAACTTCGCTGGGTAAAATATTTTTGGATGGCAGTTTATTTCTTTCAGCACTTTGAATATATTGCCCCCATCTTCTCATGGCTTGCAAGGTCTCTGAGAAATCTGCTGATAGCCTTTTGGGGGGTTTTGACAGTTTTATTATAATGTGTCTAAGAGAGGTTCTCTTTAAGTTGACTGTTTGGTGACCTACGAGCTTCATAAACTTGTGTATCCAAATTTCTCTCAAGACTTGGGAAGTTCTCAGCCAATATTTCTTTAAATATTCTTTAAAACTTCCCCTTGGAAGTTTTTTATTATTATTATTTTACGGTACGCGGGCCTCTCACTGTTGTGGCCTCTCCCGTTGCGGAGCACAGGCTCCGGACGCGCAGGCCCAGCGGCCATGGCTCACGGGCCCAGCCGCTGCACGGCACGCAGGATACTCCCGGACCGGGGCACGAACCCGCGTCCCCTGCATCGGCAGGCGGACTCTCAACCACTGCGCCACCAGGGAAGCCCCTTCTTCAAGCTTCTTAATGAGTTTTATGGAGGGATAGAGAAATAATTTTAAATGGATCATTTTTGCTTGGTTTGAAAATTTAAAGCAATAACTGAGTTAGGAGTAGTTTTGTTCAGGACATTTTTCATTGTTAATTGAATCAGGGAGTCCTTGACTTGATCTCATAATGTAAATAATCCTTCAATAAAATCAATACAACGAAAAAGCTAATATTTTAGTATTTAAAAGTGTCATAAGATAATGGAACCCTGAAAACGAATATGGCAATCACTAAATACAAGCATTTTGGTTGATTCTACTTTTCCCAACCCAAACAGGAGATGACAGATGACCTTGATCACTACACCAATACTTACCAAGTCTACTCCAAGGACCCTAAGAAATGTCAGGAATTCCTTGGTTTGCCGGAAGTCATCAACTGGAAGCAACATTTGCAGATTCAAAGTAAGGGAACTGGGATGTGTGCTGGCTACTGAGATCTCCCATATCTGTATCTGTAGTGTCACTTTTCATTTCGAATTACAGCCCTACATCCTCTATATCTTTACTCCAAGTCCTAGACACTCAGCCTGCTGTCCATTCTTTCTCTCAGCTGCCACCACTACCTCCATAGTTGTTAGTTCACAAACTTATTTGGGAGCTTCCCAGGTGAAATCTGAAACCAGCCCCCATCTACATGTATGGCAAGGAGAGACCTAAGAAAGGGGCAAACTACTTCCAATTGGCAGGTGGCAAGTTTAATAAGCAGGGGAACTTCCAGGCTTGTTTCCTGCAGGAGACTGCAGGATGAGTATATCACCTCACCCACCTGTCAAAATCTTAGACATTTATATAGTGGCCTTAACTGGGTTCAGTCATGTACCCAATCCAGATATCTCAACACCACATTTCAATCTCAAGGCTGTGTCCTTGGAGCAGCTTCTGGGAGCTGGGAAGGCAAGTGGGAAGCACCTTCCAAGGAGGGGAGGGAGTGGGGAACCTCCAATTGCCTGGGTCCAGCTCATGAGTCAACAGGTAGCACGTCTTCTTGATGACCTCCTCCAACAATAGTGAATTAGAACTTGAAGACTGCAGTACATGGGGTTTACATAGGAAATCATGAATAACATAATTTCTTAATAGCTAAGGATTCATGGTTTATTCCAGGATCTATTAGGGAGATTGAATATGGGAGCAGAGCTTTCCTTCTGTCTCATCTCCGTTTTATCATTGTCTTATTTACGAAGGAGGAATTTAGTAGTTAAGAATGTATTGGGGAATTCCCTGGCGGTCCAGTGGTTAGGACTCTGTGCTCTCACTGCCAGAGGCCCGGCCCAGGTTCAATCCCTGGTCGGGGAACTAAGATTCCACAACAAAGATCTCCCAAGCTATTGTGCGGCCAGAAAAAAAAAAAAAAGTATTCTCTGGAGTCAGACTACCTAAAATTGTGACCTTGTTGGGCCTGTTAGTAGTTACGTGATCTAAGGCAAGGAACAACCTCTCTGTGGATCAGTTTCCTTATATATAAAAATGAGGATTAGGGCTTCCCTGGTGGCGCAGTGGTTGAGAGTCCTCCTGCCGATGCAGGGGACACGGGTTCGCGCCCCGGTCTGGGAAGATCCCACATGCCGCGGAGCGGCTGGGCCCATGAGCCATGGCCGCTGAGCTTGCGCGTCCGGAGCCTGTGCTCCGCAACGGGAGAGGCCACAACAGTGAGAGGCCTGCGTACCGAAAAAAAAAAAAAAAAAGAGGATTAGAATAGTACCCAAAACATAAGCCATTTAAAGATTGAATAAGATCTTGAATGAGAAGTGCTCAGTACCATGTCTGATTTTATCAGTTAGGTTTTCAAACCATCCTCAGATAGTGACTGCAAACCACAATCATTTATTAGCTCACGATTTTGTGGGTCAGCAATTTGGACTAGGCTCAGCTGGGTGATTCTTCTGCTGGTCTCTCCTAGATTCACCCATGTAGCTGCAGTCAGCTGGGGGTTTTCAGTGAGCTGGTAGGACTAAGTCAGCCATAATCTCAAGTTTGGCTGTTAACGCTGGCTTTGTCTGTGCTGGCTACTGGCTGTGCTGATCAAGTGGCTTGGGCGATGTATAGAAGTCACAGGTTCTCAAGAGCAGAGAGAAAAGGCAAACCTCCATGCATAGTCACTTTTCAAGCTTTTTACTGATTCATATTTGCTATTTTTCTATTGGCCAAAGCAAGTTTCATGGTCAAGCCCATAGTCAGTTAAGAAGAAAAAAATCAAGATAGTGAAGAGGAACAAACTCAGACCACTGTAGCAGCAATCTATTGCACTGAGTGCATAGAATTTTTCAATCAATTTTGGTTATTATCTTTATACCTCATCTTCTTTGATGGTCATAACTGTACTGTGATGTATTCAGGAATTGTAGTATTATCCCAATTTTGAATTGTTTTTAAATATGAGAGTGATTTGCCATTATCCCACAGAAGTCTTTTCATGATGGGACACGAGTTTTAATAATTTGAAACCTGCAAACTTTGCAGCCGTTGGACAGCTTTTTCCTGACACTTAAAGGAACAGTGATATCTCATATAATTCATTTCCTCCATCTAGGTTCACAGTCCAGCCTGGATGATGTGATAAACAATCTTGCGGCTATTAAATTGGGCAAGGTGAAGCGAACACAGTGCTTTCTCTATATGGTCTCTGAGACAACAAAGAAGTTGGCTACTTCCTTGCTGGATGAAAAAAACGTATCACCCAATGGTGATAAATACAAGTCCATGTAAGTCTGAAAGAAGTTGCTCTGGGGAATTCCCTGGTGGTCCAGTGGTTAGGACTCTGCACTTTCCGAGGGCAGAGGTTCAATCCCTCTGGTCTGGGAACTAATTAAGATCCCGCCCGCAGGCTGCGCGGTGAGGCAAAAAACAAAAACAAAACAAAACAAAAAAGGAAGAAGCCTCATATCTGTCACCACTGAATTAGCCAGCACATTCCAGGACAGTCGCAGAAAAGCACAACAAACTGGAGCGCCTTTAAACAGCAGAAATTTATTCTCACAGTTCTGGAGGCCGGAAGTGCCAAGTCCATGGGTTGGCGAGCCTCCGTTCCCTTCAAAGCCTCTAGGAGGGAATTCTTCCTTGCCTCTTCCAGATTCTGGTGGCTGTAGGCATTCCTTGCCTTGTGGCTTTGATACCAACCAGGGTTCTTGGCCTTCCCCAATCAATAGAAACTGATTAGAGGCCAGACAAGAAGTTCAGGTAAGGCTTTATTGGGGTCCCTGCTGCAGCAGTGGGGAGAGAGAACAAACCACAGGTTCCCTTGCTTGCCTGCTGGCTGAGGCAGGGGGTCGAGCCGGCTCCTTATATGGGGTGAGGGTAGGGGTGCGTCCAGGGGTCGGGCCAGAGGGGTGGCTTAGGTGTTTTGCCCACCCCTTTGGTGGTGTTGTGTGCAGGGGGCATGCGCAGTACCCAGCTTTTGCTCCCAACACCCTGTTTTTTGCTCCTGGCTCTTCAGAAGTGGGAATTGGGCGTTTTGGGTCTTTTTGTCCCTTTGTCCATAATTTGCCCCAAGTGCACATGCACACAGTTATTTTTAGTTTCTTTGTATTTTGTTGCCCGAGGAGAAGTTTGTCCAGGTGCAAGCATTGTAGCACTGCAGCAAAGGGTTCCAGGTCCCAGCCTGTCTCAGCTTCATCACTCTCGTTTCTGAATTTGCCTTCACATGGGCTTCTCTGTGTGTGTCTGTGTCTTTTCTTCTGTCTATTATAAGGACACTTTTGATTGGATTAAAGGCCCACTAGATAATCCAGGATGACTTCATGTTGGGATCCTCAATGTACTTACACCTGCAAGGATGCTTTTTCTGAATAAGGTCACATTTTCCGGTTCCAGGTGGGCACACCTTTCGAGTGGACACACCATTCAACCCACTATACCTCTTACCTTCTCTTCCAGCTTTTGCTTTGGTCTCCTAACCATCCATTTTCTGCCAAGCAGCCAGAGTAATCTTTTTTTAAAAAAAATGCACATTAGACCATGTTCTTCCCCTGCTTAAAAGACTCGAGTACTTCCCATCTCACTTGGAAATAATTCGGAACTCCAACATGACCCTATAAGAGCCAACACCCATCTACTTTTTAGACCTCATCTCCTCTCTTGCTTACTGCCCCCAACAACACTGGTTTTCCTCCTGCCATCGACCATTGTAAGCTCAGGCTTTTTTTTTTTTTTTAATTATATTTTATTTTATTTTTTATACAGCAGGTTCTTATTAGTTATCTATCTATATATGTATTAGTGTATATATGTCAATCCCAATCTCCCACTTCATCCCACCCCCCATCCCCCTTTCCCCCACTGCTGTCCATATGTTTGTTCTCTACATCTGTGTCTCTATTTCTGCCTTGCAAACAGGTTCATCTGTACAATTTTTCTAGATTCCACATATATGCATTAATATACAATATTTGTTTTTCTCTTTCTGACTTACTTCACTCTATATGACAGACTCTAGGTCCATCCACATCTCTACAAATGACCCATTTTCGTTCCTTTTTATGGCTGATTAATATTCCATTGTATATATGTACCACATCTTCTTTATCCATTCATCTGTTGATGGGCATTTAGGTTGCTTCCATAACCTGGCTATTGTAAATAGTGCTGCAATGAACATTGGGGTGCGTGTGTCTTTTTGAATTATGGTTTTCTCTGGGTATATGCCCAGTAGTGGGATTTCTGGGTCATATGATAATTTTATTTTTAGTTTTTTAAGGAAGCTCCATACTGTTTTCCATAGTGGCTGCATCAATTTACATTCCCACCAACAGTGCAAGAGGGTTCCCGTTTCTCCACACCCTCTCCAGCATTTGTTGTTTGTAGATTTTCTGATGATGCCATTCTAACTGGTGTGAGGTGATACCTCATTGTAGTTTTGATTTGCATTTCTCTAATATTTAGTGATGTTGAGCAGCTTTTCATGTGCCTCTTGGCCATCTGTATGTCTTCTTCGGAGAAATGTCTATTTAGGTCTTCTGCCCATTTTTTGATTGGGTTGTTTGTAAGCTCAGGCCTTTTGAGTCAGCTTTTCCCTCTGCCCCCACCCTACCCAATCCTGACACACATGACTTCTTTTGCTGTTCAGAACTGCTCAAATGTCACCTTCCAGAGAGTCCAGGCTAGACCACTCCACCTAAAATCACTTCCCAGTTATTTTCCACACATGACCCACTTTTATTTTCTTTGTAGCACTTATGATTATTTGAAATTAGGTAATTTAGTGAACGATCTTACTTACTGGATGTTTGAACTCTCCCCAACAACGTTGCAAACCCACGAGAGAGAGCAGGTACCTTCCCTGTCTTGTTCACTGATAGATCTTCCACAGCTAAAACAGTGCCTGGTATATAGTAGGTATTTAATAAATGTGTTCAGTAAATTCACTTGACAAACAAATTTTTCCAATAAAGAGAATTTCAACAAATAATATATTTTCCCCCATTGATGTCCAGTCTAACACTGAATAGAACTGAACACTGACGGTGGAGATTTCAGCTAAAGATGCCCAGTCCCATGGCCTTCCGTCTGTACTGCTGGGAGAGTTTTATTCACTTTGTATCAAAGAACCTCTCTGGATCCCCTTGTCTGCACTGTAGGATAAACAGGATGGGAGATATTATCCCCATTTTCCCGACAGAAAACAGACTCAGATGATGAAATAGCTTGTTCAGGTCACATGGGTGGTTAAGGGCATAGTGGGCTTGAGTCTAGATCTCCTAGTTTCACCTTGTGGGCTCTTTCCAGGACACCTCCCAAAGCCCCTTTACAGCCTGCAGATGCCATCAGGTTCAGTGTTCTGTGCCTTGGGGGCTGCCTGCACTTCATGTCACTGCCCCTTTCTGGACTTCAGCCTCCCCTCTTGTTCAACGTGGTAGCCAAGGACCTTCAGACATCAACATTTAAAGCTCTGGCTTCACTGCTTGCTAGCATGTGCTTTGGGGCACTTGTTTATATCTCTGCAACGTTTTCCTTCTGTGTAAAATAAGGATAAGAACACCTGCCCTATCTAGGTTGGAAAGTTGCAGCGGAGGCCAAATGAAACAATTGTAGCTAATTTCTGTAGAGGATTTATTATCTGCCAGGTGCTTGTTCTAAGCCCCTACATCCATTGACTCATTTAAGCCTCACAATGATTCTATAAAGGAGGTGTGATTATCATCCTTATTTATTAGATGAAGAAATAGAGGAAGTGGGAAATGAAGTAATCAGCCCCAAATCACCCAAGGAGTCAGATTATGAATCTAGACAGCCTGGCTACAGAGCACTTGTGCTTAAATATGCTCCTATTCCCCTCTCAGAACAATTGGGGCAGGGGACAAATAAAATACTCCACAGTACATGTGACATTGTTACTGAGCCAAACTTGGGTCCACTTGCAGTAAAGCCAATCTACTGACACCAGGTTGTGGTGAAGGAAAGTACAGCATTTATTGCAGGGCACCAAGCAAGGAGAATGGGCAGCTCATGCTCAAAGGACTCGAACTCCCCAATGGCTTTCAGGGAAGGGGTTTTAAAGTCAGTGTGAGGGAGGTTGCTGCAGGGTTGTGGTCAGCTTGTGCACAATTCTTGGATTGGTTGGCATCAAGGTGAAGTTTCAAGCATCATCAACCTCCTGGCTTCAACCAGTCTATGTTCTTGAGGTGAGCAGTTTTCATCTGGTGGGGATGTGCTTCCTATAAAAACAACTTAGAAATGTGTGTCAGGCCCTTATCAATATCTTGCAGAGAACTGTGAGTTCAGTGATTCTGCCATGTGGCAGATTTATAGTCTAAATTTTTACCAGTTTCTCAGCCCAACAGCTCTTCTGTTTCTAGATCTTCACATTTTCTAATCATTAACTCTGTTAGCCTTTTGGCACTCAAGGGAGGCCTGGGAGACTAAAGCAAAAGGTTTTTATTTCAAAGGACAGGGATAAACAGGCTTGTATACAGTTTCAATATTATGAGCTATTCTTTCCCCTTGTTCCCAATAGCCATCAAAAGGTGTTGAAACTCTCATCCCTGGATCCTACCCACGCTGCCTTGGTGAATAAATTCTGGCATTTTGGTGGCAATGAGAGGAGCCAGCGGTTCATCGAGCGCTGTATCCGGACCTTCCCCACCTTCTGCCTGCTGGGGCCTGAGGGGACCCCTGTATCCTGGGCCCTAATGGACCAGACAGGAGAGCTGCGGATGGCAGGCACCATACCTGAGTACCGGGCCCAGGGCCTCATCACCTACCTCATCTATGTCCAGGTTCAGGCTCTAGACAAACTTGGCTTCCCCATGTATTCCCATGTAGATAGGGCCAATCACATCATGCAAAAACTGAACTTCAAGCTGCAGAATATCTCTGTGTCCAGTGACTGGAACCAGTGGAACTTTGTGCCTCTGTGAAGCAGACCTGAACACAAGACAGTGTTGAATGGACAGGGCACGTGGCTGGAGGAGCTGATGGGTGATGGAGAGAGGAGAGAGGGAATAAAATGTAATCAATGGTAATGAAGGGTCCTGAGCTCTGAGGAAGCAGTGATGGGTAGTGAACAGAATAGCCTCAGTCTCTGTGCTCAAATACCTCCCAGGATTCCCTTAGTTTCCTCAGTAGGAAACAGGCCAGGCACCCCAGCTGTCTGGCTGGTACAGCTCCTACACTTCCAGCATCCTAGTCATGCTTTATATTTAGTTGCATACTTTTCTGCATTGTTCTTCCTGGAACTACTAGCTCACTGACCCTTTCCAATTTGCCAGAAGGATTGTAATAATTTGTGGGTTCTAGGACTTTTTCTCTCTGGCTTTCTATGTGTTGTTTTTAATCGACTATAGAGTCACATGTCTTCTGAGTAGCTCTTTGAATATCCTCCTTTCCCAGGTCACTTCTTAAGCCTTGTATTATAATCACATGAAATATACTATACACACATACCACACATTTCTATATCTATAGCTATAGATGGTGTGTGTGTGTGTGTGTGTGTGTGTGTGTGTATAATGCAGCAGAGATAATTAAAACAAAAAGACTGACTGGCATTAATATCTTCTTTTGCAACTCCTACTTTAGGAAAGAGATACTAACGTTGTTTCTGTCCTCTGAAATTGCACAAGGTGAGAGCTGGGAGTTTCAGATTTACTGGGGGCTTACTGAGGACTAGCCTGGGAAACAGTTTCTCAGATAGCTCTGAGGAGCTCCTCCATAGAGGTAAGGGGGAAAAGAATGGTACAAATGAACTTATTTACAAAACAGAAACAGACTCACAGATTTAGAGAAGGAATTTATGGTTACTGGGGTGGGGTGGGGGAGGGAGAAGAGTGGGAGAGGGGATGTTTAGGGAGCTTGGGATTGACATGTACACACTGCTATATTTAAAATGGATAATCAGTCCTAGCCACGGCAATCAGAGAAGAAAAAGCAATAAAAGTAATAAAAATTGGAAATGAAGAAGTAAAACTGTCACTATTTGCCAGTGACATGATACTATACATAGAAAATCCTAAAGATGCCACCAGAAAACTACTAGAACTAATCAATGAATTTGGTAAGGTTGCAGGATACAAAATTAATGCACAGACATCTCTGGCATTCCTACACACCAACAACGAAAAATCAGAAAGAGAAATTAAGAAATCACTCCCATTTACCATTGCAAGAAAAAGGATAAAATATCTAGGAATAAACCTGCTTAAGGAGGCGAAAGACTTGTACTCAGAAAACGATAAAACACTGATGAAAGAAATCAAAGATGACATAAACAGATCGAGAAATATACAATGTTGTTGGATTGGAAGAATCAATATTGTGAAAATGACTATACTGCCCAAAGCAATCTACAGACTCAGTGCAATCCCTATCAAACTACCAATGGTATTCTTCACAGAATTAGAACAAAAAATCTTATAATTCATATGGAAACACAAAAGACCCCGAATAGCCAAAGCAATCTTGAGAAAGAAAAACAGAGTTGGAGAAATCAGGCTCCCTGACTTCAGACTATACCACAAAGCTACAGTAATCAAGACAGTATGGTACTGGCACAAAAACAGAAATACAGGCCAATGGTACAGGATAGAATGCCCAGAGATAAACCCACGCACATATGGGCACCTAATTTATGACAAAGGAGGCAAGAACATACAATGGAGAAAAAACAGCCTCTTCAATAAGTGGTGCTGGGAAAACTGGACAGCTACATGTAAAAGAATGAAATTAGAACACTCCCTAACATCATACACGAAAATAAACTCAGAATGGATTAAAGACTTAAATGTAAGACCAGACACTATAAAACTTGTAGAGGAAAACATAGGAAAAACAAACACTCTTTGACATAAACCACAGCAAGAGCTTTTTTGACCCACCTCCTAGAGTAACAGAAATAAAAACAAAAATAAACAAGTGGAACTTAATTAAACTTAAAAGCTTTTGCACAGCAAAGGAAACCATAAACAAGACAAAAAGACAACCCTCAGAATGGGAGAAAATATTTGCAAATGAAACAACAGACAAAGGATTAATCTCCAAAGTATACAAACAACTCATGGAGCTCAATATCAAAAAAGTAAACAACGCAATCAAAAAATGGGCAGAAGAACATATGTTTATGTATGACTGATTCACTTTGTTATAAAGCAGAAACTAACACACCATTGTAAAGCAATTATACCCCAATAAAGATGTTAAAAAAAAAAAAAAATGGGCAGAAGATCTAAATAGACATTTCACCAAGGAAGACATACAGATGGCCAAGAGGCACATGAAAAGATGCTCAACATCACTAATTATTAGAGAAATGCAAATTAAAACAACAATGAGGTATCACCACACGCCAATCAGAATGGTCATTATAAAAAAGCTAGAAACAATAATTACTGGAAAGGGTGTGGTGAAAAGGGAACCCTCCTACACTGTTGGTGGGAATGTAAATTGATACAAGCACTATGGAAAACAGTATGAAGGATCCTTAAAAAACTAAAAATAGAACTACCATATGACCCAACAATCCCATTACTGGGCATATACCCTGAGAAAACCATAATTCAAAAAGAGACATGCACCCCAATGCTCATTGCAGCACCTTTTCCAATAGCTAGGACATGGAACCAACCTAAATGTCCATTGACAGATGAATGGATAAAGAAGATGTGGCACATATATACAATGGAATATTACTCAGCCATAAAAAGAAATGAAATTGAGTCATTTGTAGTGAGGTGGATGGACCTAGAGTCTGTCATACAGAGTGAAGTAAGTCAGAAAGAGAAAAACAAATACCATATGATAACGCATATTTATGGAATCTAAAAAAAAATGGTATTGATGAACCTAGTTGCAGGGCAGGAATAAAGAGGTAGACATAGAGAATGGTCTTGATGACATGGGGTGGGAGGGCAAAGCTGGGGTGAAGTGAGAATAGCATCGACGTATATACACTACTGAATGTAAAATAGTTGGCTGGTGGGAAGCAGCAGCATAGCACAGGGAGATCGGCTCGGTGCTTTGCAATGACCTAGAGGGGTGGGATAGGGAGGGTGGGAGGGAGGCTGAAGAGGGAGGGGATATGGGGACATGTGTATGCATATGGCTGATTCGCTTTGTTGTGCAACAGAAACTAACACAATATTGTGAAGCAATTATACTCCAATAAAGATGTATTAAAAAAGAATAAGAAGGAAATTTGATAATACTTATAAAAAATAAAAAATAAAATAAAATAAAATGTATAACCAACCAGGACATACTGTACTGCACAGGGAACTCTGCTCAATATTATGTAACAACCTAATTGGGAAAAGAATTTGAAAAAGAATAGATACATGCATATGTATAACTGAATCACCGTGTTGACAACTGAAAATAACACAACATTGTTAATCAACTGTATTCCAACATAAAATAAAAAGTGTAAAAAAAAGAGGTAAGGGGGGAGGTCAGCATATATGTAATTTTGGAGAAGGGGGATGTGCAATCAAACAGACTTTTTTTTTTCTTTTTTTCAGATCTTTATTGGAGTATAAATGCTTTACAATGTTGTGTTAGTTTCTGCTATACAACAAAGTGAATCGGCTATCTGTATACATATATCTCCTTATCCCCTCCCTCTTGAGCTTCCCTCTCACCCTCCCTATCCATCCCTCTAGGTCATCACAAAGCATTGAGTTGATCTTGTGCTATGCAGCAGCTTCCCATTAACCATCCATTTTACATTTGGTAGTGTATATATGTCAATGCTACTGTCTCACTTCATCCCCAGCTTCCCCTTCCCCACCATGCCCTCAAGTCCATTCTCTACATCTGCTTGTTTATTCCTGCCCTGCCACTAGGTTCATCAGTACTGCTTTTTTAAATTCCATATATACGTGTTAGCATACGGTATTTATTTTTCTTCTCATGACTTACTTGACTCTGTATGACACACTCTAGGTCCATTCACCTCACTACAAATAATTCAGTTTTGTTCCTTTTTATGGCTGAGTAATATTCCATTGTATATATGTGCCACATATTCTTTATCCATTCATCCTTGATGGACATTTAGGTTGCTTCCATGTCCTGGCTATTGTAAATAGTGCTGCAATGAACATTGGGGTGCATGTATCTTTTTGAATTATGGTTTTCTCAGGGTATATGCCCGGTAGTGGGATAAGCACACTTCTTGGTAAGTCACTGTTAGTCACAAGGAACAGATACCTCCGTGAATGATTTTAGTGCTTTTCTAAATATGGGAAGACGTAAGAATTGGGGTTCATAAAAGTTTCTCTTGAAAATATCTAACTATCTGAAGACCTGTTCTGCCAGTTTTGCCAGAGCACAAGTGTCTCATTACTGACCTCTGCCCTGAATTATTTTCAGGGGGTGTGTTGAAGGTCAACAACTGCAGTGGCTAATGACTGGATCCTTGTAGAACCAGATGGTAAGTGACATTCTTTAGCTGGGATTTCTAAAAGCTGAGCTTCCTTAATCCCCTTCCTCCAGTCTGCATGTAATAAAGAGATTCCTTGTTTGGTTGTGGAAGCTTAATCTATGTGGTCCATGAAGGGAAATGAGTATAGGGAAAGGAGGAAGTGGGGGCACTCAGATCCAGAACAGGGAGTATCGATTATCAGGGACAGGGGTAGGGGAGGCTCTGGAGGGAGGAGACTAAGCAGCAGCACATTACTTTGAGATCCTTGCTCCCTCTGTGGTGTGACTAAGAGTCTTCTGGGAGACTCATTGGTGAGGCCACCAGAGAATTCATCTCTGAGTCTCCCTGGGAAGACTGTCCCAACACTGCCAGAGGAAGAGCACCTACTTGAAGGAGAAAAGAAAGAAAGAGAATGACACCAGTTTGAGACTTGGGACCACCACAGCCCAATTCCTTAACACATCAAAATAACAGCTGTGCCCTTTATACTTGAGCATCAGC